AAATTGTTCTCATGTCAGGATTTAAGTTCCAGATAACAGAGATTCTGCTAATATAATTATTTCTTTTTTATCCCAAATGTTTATTGTTCTTATTTACTTTCTTTTAAGTAAGAGTGCACATGCTCTTGGTATGAATTTTATTTCACATTCAGATTACTTCTTTCACTGTCTCATGAAAGCAAACATCCCTGTGCTCAAATCTAGCATAAATATCCCAGTTTAATTCTGTAGAGCATTCTAATTTTATAATTGGGCAACACAGTTGAGATTTGATTTCCCTAGTAATGTCACCTTTTCTGCAGCATACTGCAAGCCATAGGAAGATTGCCTGAAAAGTTGGTCAGATGGTGTTAACAGGGCTACAGATTAATGTTTCCACAAATGACAGCAATCAGTCCACATCTTAACAAGATGATGGTCAAAGTAATTTGTACTAGTCCACAGATGTAAGCTCTGCTGCCCAGCCAGATCCATTTTTGTATTATTCTGTGCTTGACTTAGCCTGAACAGCTCTGTCAAACCCTGTATTATTCATGACATACATTTGTTTGGTCCCCTGCCTGCTCCCTCAGTGCCTTTGTGCACCAGGCACTGTCTGCACGTCCAGTCCCCATCAATGCACCGTGCCTGCTGGCCAGCTGGGCCTGGTCCAGGCAAAACCTCTCTGGAGTGCAGCAGCTGTGGAGTACGTGCTCCTTCCTTGGGCCCCAGGTGCCTCTGAGCTGTGTGACAGCAGATGCTCTGCAGTGACAAGGTGAGGCCAAAGCCCCATCCCTTCCTGTCCCAATTCAAGCAAGCCAAGCCATCGAGCAAGGACAGGAGTGCTGTTCAAGGAGCAGCACTCTGGAGGTCATTGGAGCTCAGAGAGCTCAGTACTGCTTTCAGACCTGCTTGAGCTTGGGCTTTGGATTGCTCCAGTGGCACAACAGACTCTCATCCCTGTCACTCTGTCACTCCCCAAATTCTTGCACTTCCCTTGCTCGTCATTACATCCATCACAATCACCAAATACTGTGCCATCCTGCAGGAGTGTATCTTTGCTGAAATTCACAGCTTCTGGTGACACAATGTCATGGAAGAGTTTGTGGCATGACATTTCCATTGGCTTTCCTCTCCTGTCTGGATTCCCACCTTGGAGATTCACCAAGGATGTATTTATTGGTGCACAGCCCACCTGTTGCTCTTGCATAAAGCTGCAGTGAAACAGGGCTGCAGGCTTTGTTTTGGTACAGCCTGGAATTCAGGCCCAGTGCTTGTGCACTGAATGCTTGGTTGTATATGAAGTGAATATGAGGTGAAATACATAAAATTTAATATTAATTTAGTAGAAAACTGAAATTATGTGTGGGAGAGAAAATTCTCTTCAGTTGCTGCAGCCATAGACTTGCCTTTTTCTCAGCAAATAATTCATTTGCAGTTGTAATTCATTTGCAGTAGTCAAAAGATAATTGGTCTCTGTAGGACTAGTTCTTGTGTTTATTATTTCATGTATTAGCAAGGTTACCAGTGGTTTAGGGTCTTGATTTTGTTACTCTGTGATTTACAAACCAGTTATACTGATTTCATTTTCTTTCTGCAGGAGGATAACTTTATAATGCTAAAGACAACTAGCAAAAATCCAGTATTAGTTCATGCTGTTTCTCAGCAGCATATTGGTTTCTAGGCTGAAGTACACAAAATATCAGTGGTTTGGGTTGGTTTTTATCATAGCTTAGGAGACCTGTTGCCAGTTTACATAAAGGAGAACAAATATACCGCTGAACATCTGAAATGTGGTTTTTTTTCAAAACTAGGTTCTAATTAATACATTCAGGATTTGCAGTAGCAGGCAAGTTTGAACTTCACTACTGTCAACAAGTTGGGATCTGCTTTTTTTTTTGTTTTCTTCAGAGGTGCAAGGAAAACCACCACTAGCTGTTGGTCTGAAAACTGTAGCTGATCTATCATAGTTCTTTAACAATTCATGCATTCCGAGGCTGTTAAAAAGTGCTTATTTTTTTTCAAACCCACAAGAGACAGTATGTGTACTTATATTTTTCCTTGAAAGACCAAGAGCTTTTCAATCCAGAGAGAGAAATGTACAAAATCTGTGTAAAGTAAGTGGAGAAAGTGCCCATTTTCTGACAGTAAATGCTTCTGCTCAAGTATTTGCACTGGATTATAATGAAGCTTTGGTTAAGCAGATTAAACAGACAAAAGCAGTGAAACTTCAAAGGCTGACCAAATGTGCTGAGGTTTTTATTTCCCCAGTCTGTAATGCCTGCTTTTGCCTTCCTCTCATTAGCACAGAAAAATAAGCCAGTAGAGCATAATGTGTTGTCCCTCTGTAGTGCCTGCAGCGGCTGATTCCTAGCGGGGCTCTAGGGTGAGTATCGAAGTTTTTTCCAACGTAGCAGTAGATAACAGAACCTCCTATGAAAAAGGGTTTAAGAGCAACTGCTCAGCTGAGAGTTCAGCTGCTCGTGGAGCTCCTTTTAGATACCAAGATGCAAAAGCCTCCTTCCAAACACAGATGTTAAGTCTGTGACTTAATCCAATGTTAATTAACTATTTTTACATGCTCAAAACAGCAAAAGATCTCTGTGCTTTGATAAGCTACGAGGAATAAGGTAAAGCAGTATTCACTGGCATGGTGTAACAATCCAAAATGATTTGATATTTCTAGGTTGTATTTTCCAGTATTCTCTACAGAACAGTTAAGTGTGCAGCATCTGTTATGGTTTTTATTGTGAAAAGTGTTTCCTGCACTGTGATTTGGGCTTTTATGTCACTTAATCAAGGAGTTATCAGAGACCACACAGAAGTCAGAAGTTTCAATCAGGGGGGAAAGTGAATATATAGAAAGTTTAGAATATATAAAATAATAAAACCAAATTATTTAAAAGATTAAATATGTACAATTTTAGAAGTACAGAAATTATGTAAGCTCTGTAACAGGTTCCTGTTAAGCTCATTTTATAATGTTACAGTTCATTAACTAATATGGTGTATATGAGAAATAACAACACTGGACATAGTTCTTAAACAGCAGTGAATTTGTACACTTTGTACATTTGTGTGGCTTTGGATTAATTTTGAAAAATTATTGTAATTCAAATCAAATGGACTGGTTTTGGGTCTCTGAATATTTTTAACTGCCTGAATACCTGTGAAGTAGCAAAATCTCGTTCTGAACAGGTAAATGGCATTTCTTTGATTTAACCACATACCACAGAGCCTCACGGATCTCGCTGTTGGGGATGTTTTCTCTGGATTTTTCTAGAACTGTACTCTAATGCTACAGAACACAAGCATTTTCTAAGCTCCACTTCAAATAATACTATTGCTGAAATTTGTCATGTTGTAAAAGCCTTGCCAGAAGGTGTATGAAAAGAACCTTCTTAATCATTTTTTAAGAAAGGCTCTTTAGTTTCATTTGAAGAAGGAATTTGTGGAGTCAAGACAGAAAAGCTGACTAAGTCCCACAGCCTTTCAGTATTAAATTTAATGCTCTTTACCTTCTTATTTGCTATATGACGAAGCCCTTTATGCTAAATGCCTGAGATACATGCTTAGTCATTCAGAAAAGCAAGTTATAAGGTCCAAGAAGTTTTGTCTGTGAGTTTTTATTTCTTCCTCACTGTTGTGCTGTGAGGTCCCAAACAACTCCTTCTAAAATGACATGAGATGGTTCTGCCTTGGTAAATCAGCAAGATGAGAGTGGAGAGCAGAACTGCAGGGTCCCCCAGGCCACTGACTGCCCAGACTGGCTCAGACGCACCTGAGAGAGGTGAATGTTTGTGTACCTGAGCAATTACGGACACTTTTTTAATGAAGTGGAAGCTTGCTATGACAACTTCCTTGCAGTTACTTGCAATGAGGGAACTTCAAGTAGTCCCCTATAATTTCAGACATAGTGGAGTAAATGAAGAAGCCATGGGAAGTAACAAGTCAGCAGAAAAAGGAGCTCCAGAGGCAGCCATTGCCTTGCATGAGAAAGAAAGATGAGCTACAAAACCCTCTGTTCATCATGCTGGAGCCTGTGCAGCACTCGGAGCTTGGCTGGTCTCGAAGCGGCTGCAGCTGAGTTTCTGAAGTCAAAATCAGCAAGATTTTTAGTTCTTTCCCTAGGAAAAGTCCCTTTATTTTTTTTAAGTTAGACTGAAAGTTCTTGCATCATTTTTAGCTTCTGTGTCTGCAAAAATTTAATTTCACTTCCATAGCACAAACTAAAGCAAAATGTGCAACATTTGCTTGCAACTTGAAAAGACAATTTCATCTTTCAAACTCAGAAGAGGCAACTTTTATCAGCAAGGCAGAGGTATCAGTGTCATCAAATTGTGAGTGCTTTTTAACATTTTTCATTTCTTTAAAGTTAAAAGGCTTCTTTGAATTCACTTTTTAAAATTGGTTTGCAAGCAGGCTAATAGGCCAACACAGTTTAAAGGTAGTTTTCTTCCTCCTGTTTCACAGACACCCAAAGAGTTCATGTTTTTACTGTCACAGGGTCTATCAATATTAAAATGTCTCCTTCCAAGACACATCTCATGCAGAGTAAGATGCCTTAGGAAAGACTGTAACTTGATTTACAATAGGAAAAAATTATGTGAGAAGATAGTTATGAAGGGAAAGTTATTGAGGAGCATTTTCTGCATATAAAGAATGATACTAAAGCATTATTTGGAGTAAAAACTATTATCTATTTGTTTCACAATTTATGCTGATTTTCTGTGCTGCATTGAGTCCATTTACTGTTTATTGCAGTAGGAAGGAGCAAGTGCATTTTTTGTAGACCTTGAAACTTCAAGACCATCATCTTTCTTCAGAAGGGTTTTTACAGACATTTGAGATTTGAATTTTATCCAAGTCATAGAAATTCACATCACTTCATGAGAAACTGTATCTGGTGTTTAAAACTGATACAATGAATTTAGCTCAAAATAGAAGGTGAATGTTGCTGTATCTGCCACACAGAAATGTATCAGTACATTTCATTTTTTTTTCTCTTTCTCTCTTTTAAGGGTCAGAAGGCTTGGATAGAGAAGACTTTTTCTAAAAGAGAATGCATCTATATAATTGCCAACAACAAAGATGTTACCAGGTAACATTTGAAATTTTTATTTCAACAGACAAGCTTAATACCAGAGAGACTCCGCTTGGTTTGGGTTTAGATGTGTGAAGCCCAGTTTAGTCACTGCCTGTAAAGGGAGATGGCAGGAGAACAAAAGCACAAGTCATGCTTGCACTCCAATCTGCACAGAGCCATGGGACATGTCACACAGGGATGAGAAGGCTGGGAGCAGGGGAGGCAGTGAGTTGTTAGCTCCTAATTTTGAAGACCTTAATAGATTAATACTGAATTCTGAAGGAAAGAATGCAGTAATGTGGTACCACCCTTCACAGTTAGTGTGATATTACCAATGACAATAGCAGATGGGGGGATTTCATTTCTTAGTCTAAATATTAATATTACTCCATGGGCTAGCTGCATATTGTGGTCCAGCTTGTGTGGATAACAGAACAGTTAATGTCACATGCAAGCTGTCACCTCTAAGTAAGAAGCAGGTGGTCAGTGCTCCTGTTCTGCATTCTTCCTCCTTGCCTGGCCTTTTACCTAGAACAGCTTTCCAGTTCATAAGGGAAGTGAATTTTTTTATCTTTGCATGTTAAAAACCACCTAAGCCTGTTAATTCTGGCACATATGTGTATGTGAGGGGTGTTTCTATTATCCGTGTACAGCAAAGCTTGGGCAGTTGAAAATCTAATTTGTTTTTTTTTATTTTTAAGATACTATAATCAAAGTCACTTCAAATTTTAACCTCCAGGTGCTGCTGTGGCCAACTCATTAACCAGCATATTCCACCTCCTCCAAGTATAACAGCTAATAAAAATGAGGAAGAAACGAAGCAAGTGGAAGCTCAGCCAGAGAAATGGTCTGTCAGTAAACACACCCAAGCATACCCAACAGATGCCTATGGAAACCTGGAATTCCAGGGAGGAGGACATTCAAATAAGGCCATGGTAAGGGGCATGGGGTACTGTAAGGTATTTATTCATCTGGTGTTCAACAGGCTCTTCAGTTTTCTTAGCAGTAAAAGTAACAGCAATTCAAACTTCTGCAAAAATTCTCTTTGTTTTTCCTCTCTTCTGAAGAAATCCAAGCTTAGGTTTGTTTTTTTTTTTGTTTGAAAATTGTAAAACTCTCTCTCCAGGATGAAAGGCAAACAGTAATCATTCTTTACTCAGACAAATTACAGAACAGGCTGAGTGACAGCATTGCACATTGCTCTTTGCAGTACATCCGTGTGTCGTATGACACCAAACCAGATTCTCTGCTGCATCTCATGGTGAAAGACTGGCAACTGGAACTGCCCAAACTCTTAATCTCTGTCCATGGAGGCCTCCAGAACTTTGAAATGCAACCAAAATTAAAGCAAGTGTTTGGAAAAGGTCTGATAAAGGCTGCCATGACCACAGGAGCTTGGATTTTCACTGGTGGTGTAAGTACAGGTAAGCAATTGCCATCACTTTTAGTTTACTTAAGAATTCAGTGATGTTCACTCACTAATCTTTCCCACAGGCAGAAGATTTAAGTCTACATGAACGAGTCATTACCCTCTAGACCAAAAAAGGAGCATTGTAATCATTTGTGTTAATCTCCTAACCAGCCCAGACCATAAGATATTCCTGGGTCAGTATTGATTTGCATTATTTGGTGTTTCCCTTGAAAACAAATTTCAGCCTTGGTTCCAGTAGCAAGGAATCTACCACTAGTTCTAATACACTTCTTTTAGTGTTTGGTTATCCTTGTAGTTTAAGATGTTTCCTACTCCAAATTTAGTTTTGGTGTGGGGTTTTTTTTGTACAAAGATATTTTTATTATTGAAAGTGTATTTCCTGCTGTCATGGTTTGTGTCCAATTAATAACATCCCTCAAGACAGACAAGGGTACAGATTACACTGTGGCAAGTTGGTAATGAGGTAAGTCTTCCACAGACTTCACTGAATTCAGCACAATGATGTGACAAGGTGATGGGACTTAGAACACAACCATTACAAAATAAAAGCATGGTTGTCTGCATTGCATGTTCTACCATAAAGTACCAGTACCAGTTTAGTGGTGAAAGCAACACAGTAGCTCCCTGAGAGGCAAGAAGAAAATTCTGTTTAGTGATCAATCTAAAGTGCCAAAAATGGATTAAATTAATTGTACCTATAGGTGTCATTCGTCATGTGGGAGATGCCTTGAAAGATCATTCTTCCAAATCCAGAGGACGAATATGTGCCATAGGAATTGCACCGTGGGGCATTGTAGAAAACAAGGAAGATCTAATAGGAAAAGATGTAAGTGTCTGAGGAAACAGCTGTGTGAAAAATACATTGGTAATATTTCTGAAATGCTCCTTTTTTCCGTTTCTAAAGCAGGTCTAGAAGGTGAAATTGAACAATTTCTTGAGAAAACTTGTTGTTCAAGAATATTTCTCAGGTTGTCATATATGACCTCAAAGTAAATATGGAATTGGTGAGGTTTCCATTGCTTTCATTAGTAAAGACCTCTCTTTGGTGACAGTTTTGCATCCTAACTTCAGTGTGACACTCTGAGCCATCTGTAAATCACATAAGGGCCTTATGTGTGCAAGGCTGGCATTTATTATAGGTGGGCACTCTGGAGTGGCATATGAATTACTAGGAACTCCAAATGAGAATGTATTTTCTAATGCACTAAGAGGATTATGTAACAACACGGTGTGTGAACAAGGAGAGCATGGTAATGAGCTTAGGGGAACATGCAGGGGAGAGCACAATCTGACTGTCATCCTCCAAAGAAAACAGTGCTGTCAGGAGAACAGATTTGGAATGTAAAAGCAAGCTCCATTTCTAATTCTCCTCTGGTTTTTATAGAGGTTTGCTTGGTTTGTTTCCTCAAAGACTCTGAGTGTGCCTCTCTTGGGTGGTGTGGGGCATTTTCCCATTTGATTCTTAGTTCTAATCTAGGTGCATCTCTCCTCTTGACACACAGGTAACACGAGTTTACCAAACAATGTCAAACCCTTTAAGTAAGCTCTCTGTGCTCAACAGTTCCCACACCCACTTCATTCTGGCAGACAACGGCACATTAGGTAAATATGGAGCTGAAGTCAAGTTACGGCGTCAGTTGGAAAAACACATTTCCCTCCAGAAGATTAACACACGTAAGTACAAGTGGGGCAAACTGCAACCATAATGTCTGGAAGAGGGGCTTGAAGTACTTGGAAGTATGGAAATTAAAGGTTTCTTGCAGCTCTTTCCAGTGGAAGTGTGATCAGGACTGTGTGACTGGACTAGAACATGTGCTGTTTGATAAGTGTGAAAGAGCCCACATCGAACCGGGCAGAAAAACCATGGAGTAAGGGCTGCATAAAGGAATGAAGAAAAATCAACAAATAACAGCGAGGAGAAGCTTCAAAGCAGTGAGAATCTAAGGAAAAGGAAATGCAAAGAATTTGTGCACTTCTGTGCTACAATTCATAAGCATCAGTAAACACACAGAATGAGGGGATTTTTTACAGTTCCTGTTTGCAGGAATCCTGTGCAGCTTAGTGATTTCTGATTCTGAATGTTCACACCAACATTTTATTTTCACTTTTCTATACAGATTTGTTTCATTTGAAATATCACGCTCAAAATTCTTTGGTCTTCCTGAAAAAACTTAGCAGGCATATTGATTTTTAATGATAATTAAGACTATTTCACCTTAATGCTTTCATATTTAGAGTTTTGTGCAGTTTAAAATTTCTTCCAGCTATTATGGCCTCTTTAAAAATAATTTTCTAGAATTTTTCTCATTGTTATTTAGAAAAAAATTATTTTGAAAGACATACATTCATTAACATGTAAAAAATATTTTTAAAAGGTGAAATAAAAAATATGTAGACTACTTTAAAATAACTCCACAACCCTAGTTAAAAATGGTCCAGAAATGTTAATAGGTCCTTCAGTTCACACATTAGTTAAGAGCTACTGGAGAATCTACATCAGTTCTACCAGTTGCTTTTCTTACCTCTTACTGGTACCCCTGTAAACTGTGTAAGCCTGTAAAAATGAGAGGAAAGAAACATCCAGAATGGCAGAGTTTGCATCAAACTCCACAGAAGTTCTTTACAGGGTCTAAGTGCTCTTATGGGTAGAGCTGAAAACTCAAGTAGAGTTCTAGGTAAAGCCAAAAGGTGCAATTAGGAATCAGCTGGGAGGTATCCAAATGTTCTGGGAATTCTCTAAGTGCTGCCCTGTGCCTGTGGTGAGCCTAAGGAACAGCTCAGGAAAATGCTGCCCCTTGCCTTTGAGTGTGGAGACAGTGCCAGGTGCTGCTGCCCACAGATGGAAACAGCTCAGCCTGCTTTTGTAATTTTTGTCTTCTGCAGAAGTGCTGGTAGAGCTGGAAGGTTGTAAAAGGCAGCATTGGCTTGAAAGATCAGGAATTCGGGCCCAGAGACAAGATGTTATGCGTCATTCCTTTGCATACCACTGGGGCTTGGGGATATCAACTCTGGTTTAGGTAGTGTTTGGTGGTTTTTGTCATGAGAAGGGCAAAGTTGGGAATACAAGCCTGCTCTGTGAAGGTCTGCAGTATACCTGCTGGTTTTAGCGTACAGGGAGTTGTTTTGTTTCTTCTTAATCACTCCAAGCACAGGCACCTCTGCTGGAAACCTCAGGAGGAATCACTAAAGATTTCATGGACAGACAGGCCGGCCCATGCTCTGTGAGTCCTCCTTGTCACAGCTGGGGTGTACTGACAGGAGGATGTCAGGAAGCTCCTGTTACTGTGCTGGTGTTCCTGTTCTTCAGAGAGGAATCAAGGTTGAAAACACGAACTCTTTCATGCGCTCTCCATCAAACAAAAAAAAGTGCATCTTTATAAAGCTCTGGTCATTTCACAGGTTAAGAACTGAATTCAAATACTTATGGTAGTGGAATTAGTCAGCATTCAGGTAATGTTTTGTCCTTCATTTCCCTGAGTTTCTTGTGACCAAGGCTACTGAGACCATGTGACCTGTGGGCTTCCCTTTGTCATCCTATGCCTGGAGATCACAGTGAGGCAGGGACAGCAAAGGGATGCTCAGCTGTCGTCTCTTCCATCGGCCAGCCATTTCAGCCTCATGATAAAAACACTAATTTCATTTTTTTGTCTTAGGAATAAGCATAGGTGTGTCACCTCACTGAAGACTTCCCTAGGTACCAATGAAGAGGTAAAGCATCAAAGGCTGGGCACCATCCAAGTAACAGTGAAGCTGATGAAACAATAGGACAGTCATGTTAGCTGCTTTATCTGTACCTGGTGTCTGTCGAGAGAGGTTACAGACATCCACTAACACTGAGAGGATAAGTTACCAGTATGGAGCTGATCCAAAAGCAAGGGCAGAGAGACTTCATACTCTTTTTCCTTTTGGGCTTGGGGAACAGCATATGGACGTTTTTGCTCACACTGGCCACAAAATGGCCATCATTTTTTCCGAAGGGCTCTGGTTGGAAGCGGTGCTCTAACACAAAAAACACATCCACTTATCTCAATTTTTTAAACTAAGTTTCAATGACACTTCTTTTTTTCCTTCTTGTTTCTGTTCTGGTTTTTGCAGGACTGGGGCAAGGTGTTCCTGTAGTTGGGCTCATAGTAGAAGGAGGTCCCAACGTGATCTCCATTGTCTTGGAGTGCCTGAGGGAAGACCCCCCTCTCCCAGTGGTGATCTGCGATGGCAGCGGGCGAGCGTCTGACATTCTGTCGTTTGCACACAAGTATTCAGAGGAAGGAGGGTAAGGCTTCAGACCTTCACCAAAGCTGTTTGGACTATATGCCTTGCTTTCATAGAGCTTCATTAAAAAAAAAAAAACAAACCCTCAAGGACAAAATGCTGCTAACAGAGGCATTCTGCTGTCAGTCAGCTTTTGTTGCCTGTTTGGTGTTAACCCTGAAGTTAGTGAGTAGGAGTTATGACCACTTGGAATGCATGTTATGGTCCTTTGAAATGAGCTTGCTCTCAGTGCTGCACACTGTTTTACAAACTCCATCAGGGTTTGCTGCTCTATACTTGGAGCTGGATTGAGCACGGTAGAAGCAAGGACAAGTTCCCAGGAGTAACTATTTTCTCCAGGCCAGGACTGAGGTTAATTAGTGCATAGATTTGCAAAATTTGTGCTGCCTGATTCTGCTGTGTTGTGTGAATTAATTTCATTGTCCAAGAGTGCCAAACCAGTGTCCAGCTGTGGAAATTTTTGGCTCCCTTCATTCTCTTGCTTTTGCCTTCCAGGCAAACACCTTGAATATTGTCTTAATTAGGTTGTGACATACCTGTCTTGTGCTGAAGATAGAATCTATTTCCTTAACTGAAGCTTAGCTTGGATTAAATATTAAGCAGACAAGTAGTGTTGCAAGCAGTGTGGATGTTATTTGCTGAATTAGGAGAGCAGCTCTTATGCTGGATTTTGTTGGCATTCAGACATAACACATATTTAATTGCACCAACAGTATTTATGATTCAGCAACTTTCCTTTCTGTCTAACAAGTTTCCTTAGTTTAGAACAACCTTGGCTTTTTTTTTCTTTCTTATTCATTCTTCCTATAAGCTCATAAGTAATTGAAAGAGCTTATCAGGATCAGTCTCTCAGAGATGTGCTCACTGCATGACTTTCCCTCCCAGTGACAGTGCATATGATGCAGTGTCCAATTTTCTTCTCCAATAATTATGATAAATGTGTTCGTCTAGTAAGGCAGATCTATAATGAGAATTTTTTGTCAGTCCAATCATTTTCTCACAGTGAGTTTTGAATTTTACTACATCTCTGAGGCACCTGCTGGTAATGTTTGCCATAATCTGAAAACACATGTGTTTTATTGGGAAAAGGATGAAGACTGAAGGGCTGTTTCATATTGCTTCAGGAGAGCAAACATTCCTGACCTTTTATAGAATGTTTTCAATCTAATTTCTTTAATGGTATTTTGGATTGTTCATTTGTTTCTCAGTTGGGTATTATGAGGTTTCAGATGGATTACCAAATTCATTCCTCTGTTTAAGACAACAACCAAGGTGACATATCAGAAATGTGAATTTTGTGGTTTTTAGCTAAATGCAAAGGGACTTGGAACATTTAGAAGCAAAGGTAGGGGTTCTGTAAGGCCTAATGATAAAATTCTGAAGACTGAACTTATTAACAGAGGTATATCTGTGATATATAAAAGGAATACCTGGATATTATAGTTTCTAAAACAGTAGACCTTCTAAATATATATTCATTCTGTCAATGTCTCCTTTTGTGTCTGATTTTTCTTTTAGGATAATAAATGAATCCCTTAGAGACCAGCTTCTAGTTACCATCCAGAAAACCTTTAACTACAACAGGAGTCAAGCTCATCAACTATTTGTCATTCTTATGGAGTGCATGAAAAAAAAAGAGCTTGTAAGTATCCTAAAAGTAGTTCATGAAGGTGATTTCTGTGACCAAACTTTATAGAGTACTTTCAAGAGCCATTTTTCCCCCATATAGCTGCATTAAATGTACACATTCCTGCATAAACATAGGCCAAAAAGGGATTACATCTTCTGGAAAGTCCCCAAACCAAATTTCAGATGCTTTTCCTGTGTAAATTGATAACAATCTTCTACAGACTTCAGCAAGGCAGAATAAGACACTGAGAGAAATGCACTAAACCTAGGATCCAGTACCAAAAGTGGAGGAAAGATAATTGAAGAAAGGGTTCCTAGAAGCAAAAAGCATTCTGAGTGCATCAACACAATTTTTGTTTTCTGACATAGTTACTCTTTAACAGCCTTTCATTACAGGGAAAGGCACTTGGCAGGCCTGTCCAGAGAAGCTGAGACATTGTGTTCCTGAAGGTCCCCCCATTCCTTGCTCCTGGTTTGCTGCAGGGCTGCTGTGTGTGCTGCAGCACTCACTCAGGTTCCTGCCTGTCTCCCACATCCCAGCTGCAGAGAGAAGTGTGCTCAGGAAAAGAAAACCTTTCACATTCACATCTGAAAGCAGTGTACTGAAGCTGTACTCACTGTGTCTTTGCAGGCAGAATGAACCCCTGAGTGTTTGCCTTTGAGTAATTCTTACTGTGAAGTGTAAATATGATGCCAGGATGAGTTCCATGCATACACTTCCACTGGGTGTAAAGTTGGTAGTAAACATTACTCTGATAAGCTGACTGAAAAATTGGTTTGAGAGGAGAGCCCACAGCTGGTTTAGTCAGACTGTTTTGAATTTAAAATGTGCATCAGAACACACCTGCTTTACTCAGCAAAATTCAGACACTGGCTGTGAAGCCCAAGCAGACTTATGGTTATGGTTTTCTGTTGATAGTTTTGTCTGTTCTTGTTAATTAGTAATATTTTTCCTGTAGTTCTTCCTTTTCTAATGTCATGTATCTTTGCATTACTGCAAAATATATTCTAACTGTTGAGAAAATTGCTGTTCTCAGTAGATAATGTGAAAAGTTGCTTTTGGAAAATGAAGAATTTGAGGTTTTTTTGGTCTGCATTTGGTATTAAGTTTATTAAAATAGACTATTTGGTTTTTCTGCTTTTGAATTATTAGGCATCTAATATGTACTTAAAGGGCTAAACTATACATTAATTACTATTTTTAAAATAATTGAATTGCAATGGACTGAACTAAACAAATACGATTAGAAATAATTGCTTTTTTTTTACTTGGTTCTGCCTTTTTGATTGTCATATGTAACACATCCTGCACTAAGAAGTATTTGAGTGTTATCATCAATAAAATAGATGCTATGATAATTATCTTGGGTAACTAGCTTTTCCATTTCCATTACTACCAGGAAGTAATAGAACTATCAGAAGACAATTGGTTTTGTATGGCAGTTTTGTCACCACATTTTAGAATACATGGGATTAATGAAGATTTTTCAGCAAGTTTGTCATGTTCACCAATGCAGGGATATTTTAGGATAACTTCACTGAAAGAATTTAATTAAGCACTTCTGTGAAAACTAAATTTCAAACAAAAATTTAGTGGAACTGTACTCTTTGAAAATCCTAAACTGAAGGAAATAATAAACCAGCACCATTCTGCTCTATTTTCTGTCTACACGTTCAGTGTCCCTCTTTCCTGTGATTTTATGTGTTTGGTTTTTAGATCACCGTGTTCCGCATGGGCTCGGAAGGACAGCATGACATTGAGATGTCCATCCTCACTGCTCTCCTCAAGGGTGGGTTTTCCAGGCACTCAGGAAGGCTGCACAAGCATCCCAACAGGACATTCCTATGCACTGTCTGATGTTCACTCTTCATGTTTAATTTGATTTCTTGGATTTTAACAAGTGCCTGAGTGTGTTTGGTTAATGTTCAGATTAGCATGAAGCATAAAATCTAGATTGAAAGGTTTGTGTGGCTTTCCTCCCCTGAAAGTGTGGGATGGGAGTGCTGCAATAACTGTACTGCTGATATTGCAGCTCATTTTATTGCAGTTCTAGAATACATTAATAAAGTTAGGAAAAAAAAGTGGGAAGATGAAAGACTGTCTGGATTTTCCCAGATCTCAGATTGTGCCCTTTCAACCTTGGAGCAATAGGATCAGTTCCATATTTAATTGGGGTTTGTTATGTTTGCTGAAACAACTGTTTTCTGTCTGTGGGTATACAGGAGTTGATACAGGCTCTATATGGGATCTCTGGAGCCCCCAAATTTGCACTTTTATGTACAGTATCATCCAGAGAAGCTGAGAGGGATCTTTAAGAAGAGTTAAATGTCTGTCTTTAGCATCAGAATAAAAGTAAATGTGGATGCTTAAAAAAAAAAAAGGGAGACAGTGTTGTTAATCCTTTGGAAATTAGGATTATAGGGTTAAACTGAGGATGCTATAATTTGACTGGATGAATCCACTGCTTTGTGTCAAAATTATTCTGATGGTAGTATGGTATGGAACCAGGCTTGAGTTTAAAAAAAAAAAGGGAGACAATGTTGTTAATCCTTTGGAAATTAGGATTATAGGGTTAAACTGAGGATGCTATAATTTGACTGGATGAATCCACTGCTTTGTGTCAAAATTATTCTGATGTAGTATGGTATGGAACCAGGCTTGTTGTTTTATAGTTATTGCAGAAGGTTGTCCAGTCTTGTTTCATCATGTGTGAAATATGAAACCTCTGTGTGTTTCTCTTCAGGTACCAATGCATCTGCTCCAGACCAGCTCAGCCTGGCTTTGGCCTGGAATCGTGTAGACATTGCACGCAGCCAAATCTTTGTCTTTGGACACCACTGGCCTGTAAGACGAAGTAAAGTTTTCTTTGTTTGTCAGTACTTTAAGTTGTGTAATATTTACACCTTGGGCTTTGACTGGCAGCAATGGTGAAACACTGCAGTTCACCTGTGTAACTAAAATCCTTTAAGTTCTTTTCTAGTCTCACTATTGAGACTATGTATTGATGCTTTTTATTATTTTATCAATGTATTGATTCCTTTAGCTTTACTGCTTGAACCATCTGATGCTGAATTAATCCAAAGTGTCATGAGGAGAGCAGCAATCCAGTTTACTTCTCTGTGGAGTTTATGTAACCTAAGCATTATCTGGAGCAAGTTAAGCCACCAAAGTGTGGTGCATGTGTGTCTCTGCCCTGGGCAGACAGGTTGGAAAGGGGAAGGACTTCAGCTGAAGAATAAATGTGTCTTGAGAGGAACAGACAGAAATACTGTCTGCAGAACAGAAATGAGCCAGTGAGTGGCTCTCTGTCCTCTCCTCTCTGCTCTGCAGTATGGATGCTATTTGGCATCATGCAGCATTCTTGTTAGGCTCTTTCTGTCCAGTTCTTGTGGCTATTTATTTTGACAACTATTGCTTTCAGAGAGAGCAAAGGATCTGAAATGTCCCAGTCCTCTCACGCTGATTTTAGTTTTCAGGAGAAATCCTCCCCACCCAATCACCTTCACTGCTTTGACTTTCAATCGTACTAAGTTAGACTTAACAGCTTTTTAAAAAGGGTAAAGCTGTGACTATGCAGAAAGGCCCTTAAATTTAGACAAATTACCATTTTTAGTTGACTCAGTGTGAGACGTGGTGACTGAGGGGGGTGAGCTTGGTAGGAGTGTACTCAATTAAATAGTTACTGTAATATCAATTAGATTTCTAATACTTTAATGTATTATAAATACAGCCTTTAGGAAGCCTTACAGCTCCTGATGGTACAGCTCCTGAGAAGGAAAAGAAATCCCCAGCACCTCAGACTAAAGCAGGCAGAGGGAAAGGAAAAGGGAAAAAAAAGGGAGGAAAAGCAAAAGAAGAACCAGAAGAAGAAACAGACCCAAGAAAGCTTGAACTCCTGAACTGGGTGAGATAAAAGTATTTGTATAAAAAACCGCTGAAGATTTTTTTTCATTGTGAGGTACAAAAACGGAAGGAAGATACACACTTTCATTCTGTAGAATGCTCTTTTGCACATTCCCACAAGATCAGCTGTAGATTCTGCAGGAATGCTGTTTAGTGTTTGAGCCAAGAATCCCTCTCTCATCCCATGTGCACCACACGCAGCCATATCTCAACAGTGCAAGTCAGTACTGAGCTGCAGCATCTTCCTCCCTACACTTGTCAGAAGGAAATAAGACCACCAGTGAACATCTTCCTTCTGTGAATGTGTTAGTTTACCTTGTTCCTATCATGCTGGGCAAGTGAATCCCTTTTTGACATAATGTGTCAGGCACGGTATGCCTGGTTTAGTTTAAAATGCTGAAAAAAATGATTGAAAGCTACATGTTGAAAGACTTGAAAGCTACAGCTGTATTGCTAAAGGTTTGGAAATCTCTGCTATCTCTACTCACTTCATGTGGTTAAAGTGTAACTTTCTAAATTCCTTTTTAGTTAGACTTATCAACATATGTGGGAATTCAGTCCATATCCTAAGTAGTGAAAATGGCTGTGGCTGCTGCCCAACCAACTCATTTGTACTCATGTGGTCTCACATTCTCCACCTGCAATTCAGGTGAACTCCCTGGAGCAGGCTATGCTGGATGCACTGGTCCTGGATCGAGTGGACTTTGTGAAACTGCTCATTGAGAATGGAGTGAACATGCAGCACTTCCTGACTATTCCTCGCCTGGAGGAGCTCTATAATACTGTGAGTGAGCAGAAATACTAAAAAGCCCTGTCATATTTTGTATATGTGACTTGAATCACCACAGAAAGGTTTATAAAAAAGGGATATTACACAGCTCTTGATAGAAAGGTGTTTGTCACTGTAGCCCAGTTCCTTCTTTTCACCCCTCTGGGTGTGATGGCACATGGTTGTTGTCTAAAGTTCTGCTTAAGCTGCCAGATCACTAATTGTGTTCATGTTTGCAAAACATCTGAAGAACTGAAGCTCTAACGGACCATGAATTATTTTCATTGCAGAGACTGGGTCCGCCAAATACGCTGCATTTGCTGGTCAGGGATGTGAAAAAGGTAAGCAGTGTTACATTTGTGTGATTGCATTAGCCATGTGAATCAACAGTAACAGCAAGCATAGCATGGGGCCAAGCAGGCATTTGAAATTAGATGGCTGCTGTTAAGAAAAGTTAAATGTCTCCCTGGGTCAAAGAGAGATGTCAGTCTAAATCAGGTGTGGCAGTGCTAGTAATTTAAAAACTAAGGAGTTGACTAAATTAAGCACCTGTTGTGTAATATGGCATTTGAGATTTAGGTTGATACTGTTTCCTCTTTACAAGAAGCTCCCAATGCAGTATTGCAGTGGAAGCAAAGGCCTGCTGGGTTAACTGGAAACACCGCTCATGACTGCAGAATTTCTTGCATTTTGTTTGTTTCCTTGTGTGTTTTCCAGTTACTTTTCCCCCACTAGTCCAACTTTTTACCTTGAAGAAAATCTCTTCTGTCCTAAATTTGTTACTCGTTTGTTTCCAATACATGAAAATTTGTTCATTGTATGTGAAGAGGGAGGGTCATTGTGAGATTTGTCGTATTTTCTCTCTTAGAGGTTTTGAAGCTTTTATTCAGTAAAATTCAGCTACATGAAATTGCCTGTATTAATTTCTGCAAGGAAAACTCCCAGTTATTCCAAGGAGGTTCAGATGTGGGGATTGTGCTGTACTGTGTTAATGTATAATTCATATTCATCTGCTTCATGGCTTAACTCTTTTCTCATCAGTGTTGTCACTGTGAGTGTCACTAATGTTCCTCTGCATTCTGCTGTCTGTTTGTCTGTCTCTGCTCTTTTCCATTGCATTTCCATGCTCCCTCCTCAGCGGCAGTCCCGGGGATTCAGTTGGGTTAACCTGGAGGTGATGTGCTTCCTTAGGCTGTAGCTGTTCCATCATAGCAGCTGCTCAGTGGTGATGTAGAATCAGTAATTGCTGTAGGATGTGGCTTGGACAATGAAGCACCATTTTTTTTTTCCAGTGGAGTCAATGCAATTATCCAGTTTTAGCTGTAGCTGCCAAAATTAGAGTTTGCCTTTTGCTTTGATTCTGGGCACATTAATCATGGTCTGCATTGCAGTCTCAGCTGTAGATAATGATAAAATATAAGTTTCCATTTAAAAAAGTATATGAAGTATGGTTATCAGGGATAGTCACCATGAAATTGTCCTGCTTTTATACTGGATTAATGATAATTAGTACAGAGTTTCTTAAGTTCATGAATATAACTCTTGTAAACAACATAAACTTGTATGGACACTCGTGAGTAAATCAAACCAAAATTTGTTCAGAAATATGAATTCTGATAATAACAAAACCAAAAAGATATGACCCCAATATTTTCATTATGTGAATCAGTTAATTCCACAGAAATGTTCAAAGACTGAACCCAGTGGCTGTAAATGTAAAAACCCATGTTCCAATTTAATCATGGCATATGTCTAGCCAGGCAATTTAATCTGTGTCATGTTTTCTTATCCTAAATCCTTATTAAGTTGTGGGGATTTTTTGCAGGGAAATCTTCCACCAGACTATCATATCAGCCTAATAGATATTGGTCTTGTCCTGGAATATCTCATGGGTGGAGCCTACCGCTGCAACTACACTCGCAAAAGCTTTCGGACTCTTTATAATAATTTATTTGGACCAAAAAGGGTAAAAATTAATTTTATATGTGGCCATTGTGGTGGTGGTGGTAAAAAAATAAGTAATACTCTGTTCCTTTGTTTTTGTGAAACACTGCACATTAAATTCTAAAGAAGTGCTGCAAGGTAGAAGTTGAAACTCCAAGAGTGAAGTTATATAAGGAAGTTGTAAGACATCTCTGTTAAAGGATGTGAAGACATGAGAGGTCATACACGAATACACGAATCTGGAGGTGAATTTCCTCCTTTTCCACTAGTTTGCAATCCAATTATTCCTAACTGTGGTGTGCTTAGAAGCACTATTTTTTTTTTTGCTTTTGTGACCATGTGGTGATTTTAATTCTCAAAGCATTATTTATCTAATTATTCATTTAACTCTTCAGTCTGAATTAAAATCTTTCCTTTGAGTGCAGGATAGATATTTCTTAACCCATTGCATTCCTGCAAATACAATTTAAATTAAAAGTAACTAATTGCAGCACTATTGGTACAATTATTTATAACAGTAAGTTTCATAATAAATGCTGTACATTTGGAAATGAAAATGGGCTTGCTTGGTATTGTTTGGTCTTTCAAATTTTCCTCCCATCTAACTGATTTTCTTTTCTATTTTTTAATATTCAGCCAAAAGCTCTTAAGCTACTGGGAATGGAGGTAAGTTGGATTTCTTTAATGTACAGGTTTTATCAAAACATTTCCTGGTACAATACCCTTTTGTTCTTATTTGATTTTCCTAGGGTGTAGAGGACCTAATTTTTTGTCCTCCATTGAAGATTTTATGTCCTGTGCTGTAAGGTGGTGAATGCTTTGTGCAATTGATGACCCCTGAATTTTCCATGGAAGACAGAGGTCACCACTTGCAGTGGTTAAAACTGCTCAAGGAGAAGTACATGCTCAACTGCTGAGCTGAAGAGTCATCTTTGGAAATGGTGTGGGAGGTTGAATTCTAAATTTGGATTTAAATTCACATTTTGTTGAAAAACAATGCATAATGCCGAGCTTGCTTGAACAAGAACTGATTTTATAGAACAGCAATTTCTTTTACTTGCAATCCACTTCTGAGATTGGACTCAAGGTCTACAGTGATGATGAGCTCTGTCTTATATATGCAATGTTCTTCCTACATTTTTTAAACCCTAATTTTCCCAATCATGGCTTCTCTCCCTTCAGGATCCTGCTTCATTGTCACTACTTCCCTTCGGTTACTTCCATGTTGGTTCCTGTAGTAGTGGCCTATCCTCCCTATCCCTTTAAGAAATGGGATACTTAATACCTTCCAGGTGCACTGCATACATAAGAGGAGATTGCTTATTCCGAGGTGAAGACTCCCTTTGGTATCTTGCTGTTCTTAAGGGTGCTGTGTGCCTGTCTTTGCCTTTTGCATGCTGCCATGGCCTGCACGTCAGTCAGAAAAGTGCTCTGGTACCTGGAAGATGTGCAGCACTGCTCTGCAGGGATAGACACAGACATATGGAGTCAGAAATGACAGGGGAGCCTATCTGTAGGGAATTCAGCTTTGTGAGAGTCCCACTGACACTGCACAGGAATTCAGTAAATAGTAATTTGTTGCAGACCAGCTGTGCAATTCCACATGCAGTAGAGATCTGTGTACAATGCAATGTGAAGGGATGCCTTCACTACCAGGGGTATCTACTGCACTTTTCCAGGATGGGTGACTTGTAATTATGTGTACAAGAAACAGCACCCTGAACAAAGTCTGAGTCTGTGTGTGCTTGCCCAGTGCATGCTCTGTCCTATTGCATTCATGGTAGCAAACAGCAAAACCAAGTTAGAACTTTGAGTATTAATGTGTCCTCTCAGTATTTGTTCCATGCATGGTGCTGTTGTCAGGTGAGCTGTTAAAAGCTGATGGGAACAATTTTTCTTTACAGGATGATGAGCCTCCCACCAAAGGGAAGAAGAAAAAGAAGAAAAAGGAGGAAGAGATTGATATTGATGTGGATGACCCAGAAGTCAGCCGCTTCCAGTACCCCTTTCATGAGCTGATGGTGTGGGCTGTGCTCATGAAACGGCAGAAGATGGCTCTGTTCCTTTGGCAACGAGGGGAGGAATCCATGGCCAAGGCACTTGTGGCTTGTAAACTCTACAAGTCTATGGCCCACGAGTCTTCAGAGAGTGAGCTGGTGGATGACATCTCTCAGGATCTGGACAACAACTCAAAGTTAGTAGATGCAGAGCAGATTTTTTTATCTACTTGGTACAAGCTGGCTGAGAAACTTTACTTTTAGTTTAGTACAATAATTTCTAAATGTAGTTTCACAGAACCCCATTTGGAGCCAATTTATCAACTATGGAAAAGGAAAAATGTGGTCTTGGGATTTCAAGGCAACACTAGCAAGAAGACTTGCATTTTTTTCTGACAGAATGCATTCTTTCTTGAGCTTCTACCTGTAAAACTAACCAGTTTTATTTCACAAAGTTATTTTTAGAATTTTTGCCCAGAAATTAAAGAGTATCTGATGATATAACTAAACTGCTTTCAAGATGTTATTGGTCTAAGTGAATTCCCTCTGTTCACTAACAGTTTGTTTGGAACTTTTGTAGACTGTCCCAAATTAAGCTTGAGATTAGTTCTTCTTGTGTGTGGATAAGCATGATGCCCAGTGAACAGAGCTAAAACCCCAAAGCATCCTGATTTCTAAGTGTAACTTTACTGATCTTATCTTGTTCCAGAGATTTTGGCCAGCTGGCTGTTGAACTCTTGGATCAGTCCTATAAACATGATGAGCAGATTGCCATGAAACTGCTGACATATGAACTGAAAAACTGGAGTAATTCTACCTGCCTGAAGCTGGCTGTGGCAGCCAAACACAGGGACTTCATTGCTCACACCTGCAGCCAGATGCTCCTGACAGACATGTGGATGGGGCGACTGCGCATGCGGAAAAACCCCGGCCTTAAGGTATTTCTGTTCTGCACCACTTCCAAAGAGAGGCTGTTGGGTGCAGCACTTGGTTACACATAGTGTTTGCATAGCAAAAGTCACTCACTTAGAAATGTTTTAAGAACGTATCTGTTTTAAAGGTAATCAGGATATCTAAGGAATATTGTGCCATTACAAAGGAAAATATAACTCCATAAAACACTTAGTGTGATTGGAATCTGAGAGAGAAAAATTGTGGTTTTCAATAAAGCATGAGATTTGTTAATTGAGAACATACTCCTTCTATTAAAAATTAGTTGTAGACAAGCAAAAATGTTTCCATTAGGGGTCCATGCAGTGGGAATAGAGATAAAATAAACCATATGTGGGCACATGCTTCTTAAATTGCTTAATATCATACCAGTTGAGACTCAGTGTTGAAAAGAGTGAAATCTGTGCAATTGCATTGTGTGAAAACATGTGATTTTTATTTCCTGCTTCTGTGATTTGATGATGCAGTCTCTCTTACTGATTTTAATATTTCCTAATTGTTTGATTTACAAAAAAAACAAGTAATGTGAGGGGGCTCTCACAGAAGAGAAACACGAGTGAGTCAATGCTAAGGAAGCAGAGCAGTGTTTGCTTGTGTGTGTTTTCATGTGAATAGAATCCTTTCTTTGTTGAGTTATGCAGTTGTTGTCACCCATATGGAGACCCATCCTGCTCACCTCCTTATTTCCTTAAATCCCCCTTACTGACAAAGTGCTGTATCTGTCTTCCCAGGCCAGATTCCCAAGTCTGCTGACATACACACTGCACTGTCTCTGCCATTCTTAGTTTATTTCCATTTTCCCATATCTCCCCCTAAAACCTGTTTAAAACCTTCAGGCAACTGTCCTGCCTTTGAGATTGCATTGTGATACTTCCCAAATCTGTTTATTATTTTCCTTTCTTTTCTCCAAAGAATTAATCAACCTCCTGATGTCTGTTCTAGTTTCATTACCTGCCTTCCTTTCTCTGCTCATTTTCTGTATTTGTCTTGTCTTTCTGTATCTAAGAAATCTCATATAGTAAGAGAATTTTCCCAGGGCTATCTGTGAAGATTCTTTTACTTTTCATAGATTTTTAAATATTAAAACTAATAATAGTAGGTGTCTGAAGTAACTATAAACTCCAGTAATAAACCTGAATGCTTCTAACCACCACTGTGTCCATTCCAAAGCATTTCTCTGCACACTAATTTTGGAGCACAATTTCTTAATTACAGGGTATTTGTGGAGATGGGAGGTTTTCCAGGATGCCATATTTAATGAAATACCTTATTGCCAATGCTTCTTAAGTACTTACTCATTTCTATAGGCTCAAGAATGGTGGAATACCTTGAATATTGTACAGAGGAAAAGTTTGAGTTGGGACTTACCTTGTTACCAAATCCATAATATAAACAAATATTGAGTTGAATTCCTTCTTGTTCACAGGTTATAATGGGAATTCTCTTCCCTCCCACCATCCTTTTCCTGGAGTATCGCAGTTATGATGACTATTCCTACCAGACATCAAAAGAAAATGAGGAAGGCAAAGAAAAGGAGGAGGAAAATGTGGTCAGTAATTGAGATTATTAAAAAGTTAATATCTCTGCTCATTTTTCCTGACTTTTCTGATTAGGCTGTAGCTCACTCAGGTTAAAATCTCTACTGCCTCTGGGGGATAAAATCGGGCTCACAATTATGGGAGGGTATAGGCTGGATTCTCAGGGCATGGGAAATGTCTGTGTAGTTCCAGATATACAGAATTCTATTTATACAATTTTAAAAAGGTCTGTTGCTCAGGGGAATCCCTGCGTAGTTAACAGTTGGCTGGGGCTGTGGTTGAGGAAAACTATTTTTACTGCTGTGTATTGATGAAATCTGACAACTTTGGTCTTCCAGGATGCAAATGCAGATACAGGCTCCCGAAAAGGGGATGAAGAGAATGGAAAGAAAAAACAACAGAGCCTTCCAATTGGAACAAAGATCTATGAATTCTATAATGCACCTATTGTCAAATTTTGGTTCTACACAGTAAGTCACAATGATAAAACTGACAGTGATTGTTTTTCTCACACTTGTGAAACTGAAAGGATTCAAATGTAAAAGTAATAACCATGTAATAAATAAATAAATATTTTACTGACTTTTGTCAGTATCTGATGAGTAAAGTGCTCCCTTTATTCAGAGGAAAATGCACAGACAGTGAAACAGAATGAATAACTGAAGTTTACATTGTCAGCCTCTAAAGCTCCTACATGCTGTGAAGGAGGCTCTGTGTGGAATAAACCAAACTAAGTGCAAGCTCCACAATCCAAACTAGCCTGGATTCTCTTCCTTTCTAAAGGACTTGGCTTCTGTTCTGCATTGAAATGTCCTTTAGGAAGAAGTAACCCCATGGTATCATTGCCATTTGCCCTGTTGCTCAGATGGGTGCAGCCTAGATGGGAGCACAGATCTCAGTCTTCCAAGACTTCATAGGTACTTTTATTAAAACAATTAAAACAAATCTAAACTAAAATACTTTTTTTTGACAAGCATCTGATTTTCTATTTATTGCATCAAGAATTAGCTGGTGTTAAACTGTTATAATAAAACAGAACATCTATTTGTGCTACTGCTCATAAATTTTGTGCGTGCCCTGTAAAGGGATACTGCTTTCTTATGTGTTCAAGATTAGGATGCCTGATACCTGATAGGTCATAGTAACATGCAATTTTTTAGTTTTAGCACGTTTTAATCACAAAACACTACATTGATCCCTTTCTGCTGCCTGAGTTAATAATTTTAAAGTGAACTACCTATTTAATTTCAAAGAAAAGTGTTCAACATGGTTTTACAGTGCAAAGAAATTACATTTTAGTAGACTAAAAAAGCCCCAGGCATAAAGGGCCTGGTTTAAAGTGCTTTAGAATTGCTGTTTTCTTCTTTCAACAAATTAGATAATTCAGCTGTCTATGTTCCACAGCCTCTGGGATTCCTTTAGGTGCTGGAGGCCCCAGGCTGTGCCAGTGTGGAGGGCTTTGCAGCAGGCCTGCAGAGAAGGAAATATTTTTTTCTTGTGCAAGTAAGGGTCTTCAGCAGCTGAATATTTCATGTGCTTAGCCTCAACACACAGGTTCATATGAATGTCCTAATTAGCACAGTTATTAGGGAGCTGAGTCAAGGGGGCTTTGCTTTCATGCATTATCAGGCCCCTCAGCTAAGAGGATTTGCCTGCCTTCTGTCTGGTGTTTCTTCTCTGGTGATGCAGCCTTCTCTGCTCTTACTGAATTAAGCTTCAGCAAGAAACTTGCTCCTGAATCTGGGAGCTGCTTAAAGTAACCCAAACACCTGCCAACTTACTGTCCATGTCGATGGATTTAACTAACAAGTGTAGGAAGAGGGACTGACAAATGAAGTTTGTATGCCTCTGGCTTCAGCTGAAGAGTGTATTCTTCCCAGATGGGCTCAACCACATCATTGCAGAGTGGAGAAAGCAAGTGGGCTGCATGGCTCTTTATTTTCCCTACCCCTCCAGGCAGGTGCTGCTCACGGCTTTACTCCCTGTTCTGTCTTACATCTGCTTTGAGATGGTGGGTAAACATTTCAGACTGAAAATTCCATTCTTTGGAAAACTCCATTTTCTCCCTGAAATACCTTTTGGTTTGTTACTGTTTTGCTTCCAGTTTTGCTTTTTCCCTTTTAAGTCATTGAATTCTTTTTGATTTCTTAACTCTGGATTTCTAAGATGTCAGACTTTTTAGTTTTGCTGGTCACCAAAGGCTGCTGTGCAGCTTGGAGACACCAGCACCAGCAGTTTGACATTTACATGAGTGGTTATAGAAAACTATAACCACTATAACTCAGAAAACTGAGTGTTAGCTCTTTTGGCTTACACTCATAATCCAGCACTGTGTAATGGAAATTAGTAGAAACTGGGGGGGCTTGTGTGTGTGTAAGCCATCTCAAGTAATTGAATACTGCCTAATTTGGAAGGATCCTAGGATACATCACCTAGAGTCCATGAATGATTTTCCTCTTTTTGGCAGATCTCATACCTTGGTTACTTGATGTTATTTAATTACATCATCTTGGTGCGGATGGAACGGTGGCCATCAGTCCAGGAATGGATTGTCATCTCCTACATTGTGACTTTGGCTTTGGAGAAAGTCAGAGAGGTAAAGTCTGCCCATACCAACATCTCATAGTCCTTAGAGCAAAGCTTGCTCTTAGGGATTATAATGGCATGGACTTGTGCACAGGGTTGAGAGGTCACACAGGAGAGAGAAGAGTCTCATATTAAATATAGTAATAACTAAAAATATTCTTGCTTGAAACAAATTTTGCTGACAGTGGATGGGGCCTGATATTCAGACAGCTGTTGAATATGACAAGATTGTTCTTTTTTCATGACCATTATTTTAAAAATGTAACTTGAAGTTTTTTCTATTTGTTGTTGGGGTGTCTGATATTCAGACACCTGTTGAATATGACAAAATTGTTCTTTTTTCATGACCATTATTTTAAAAATGTAACTTGAAGTTTTTTCTATTTGTTGTTGTTGTTGTTGTTGTACATTTGTTAGTTTGTTTATTTCAGATTCTAATGTCAGAGCCTGGCAAGCTGAGCCAAAAAATCAAAGTTTGGCTCCAGGAATACTGGAATATTACTGACCTGGTGGCTATTTCAGTATTTATCATAGGAGCAATTCTTCGCCTGCAGAACCAACCTTACATGGGATATGGAAGAGTGATTTACTGCGTAGATATCATTTTCTGGTACATTAGAGTATTAGACATCTTTGGTGTGAACAAATACCTGGGACCTTACGTCATGATGATTGGAAAGATGGTTAGTGCCTAAATTGCTATAAATTATGTCTTTAAGAACTCCGCGGGAAACTAAATTCCATTCTGCTTTAAAAAGAGGTTTTCTATTGAGTAGGACTGAATAGAGCCTGTGAAAAGCTGCCATATGAATTTCATGCACATACACACACATGATGTTATAGTCATGCAGTAACAGATTGCAGGTACACCAGGATTATCCAGAAACCCATCAGCTGTGCACAGGAGATGGTGCAGCAGTGATTATTGTATTATCTCTTTGCAGCCACAGAGGAGGTCTGTGCTGAAAGCACAGCATACTACATTTGATGCAGAGGAGAACAGGGATAGCAAAGGCTTTAGCATTTTAAATATTTTGAAATATAATCTGGTATTCCTTTAAAGTAACTGCTTTGTCTGCATTTGTTTCTATTCTTAACACCTGAGTAGTACTTAAAGCACGATGTCAAGAAGATTTTGTTGCTATTTCCTTGCTTGCTGTAGTGCATGCTGGCAGACAGACCTGCCACTGCCACTGTGCTCCCTGGTGGTGCTGAGAGCCTCTCTTGGTCTCTCCATGCAGATGATTGACATGCTGTACTTTGTGGTCATCATGCTTGTGGTTCTGATGAGCTTTGGCGTGGCCCGCCAGGCGATCCTGCACCCAGACGAGGAGCCCTCCTGGCGGCTGGCTCGCAACATCTTCTACATGCCCTACTGGATGATCTACGGAGAGGTGTTCGCTGACCAGATAGACCGTAAGAGTAGAATTCATAGTAAGAGTCTGTTTCCTGTTTCTGAGGCAGATGATCAGATCCAAATTAAACACTGCTTTTAATTTGGAAGTAAGTGTTTTCGCTTTATGATGATATTGTTGTTTTCTTGTGGCAGACCTGAGGCTGAGCAATTTTCTCTTCTCCACCCGCATGTCTGCACTCTTGGTTGATATTCAAATTCAGTTAACACAGGAAGGGATGTAGCCCAGAATATTCTCCTGTCCAACAGTGTGGCAGTGTTCTAGTTTACTTGCAGGGATCAACAGAGATCTGTCTGAAATGTTCTTTTCATTCAAAGGTTTACTAAGAGTCAGTTCTAACAGAAGAAGAAAAGAAATAAATTCCTTGTGCAGGGAGGTTAAAACGCACATATCCTTTCATCTCCAACTCACAAGCAATGAGCTCATACATTTTTACTCCCAGTCATACATCTGTCTGCTTTCACAAACGTTTCCATTTCATTAATCACTCATGTTGTTCTTTTCTACACCTGTGGGAAAACAAAACAAAAAAAAAAAGCAAACTCCACTTGATTATCTTTGGATGTGGAAATAGCCTTTCGTACAGGAATCCTGCACACTTTAAAAAAATACCTGTCAGTATTTTAAAGGAGATGTAAGCTGTCCTGTTACTGCTAATTTTGTGGTAATATTTGAAATTTGTATGACAGTCCAATGTGCAGCTGGCCTCCTCTAGTGTGTATCATGTAGTTTGCACTTTATCTGAAATAACACAAGCTGTGGTTCTCTGTAAACACACCACAAAAGCAGCCTCAGAAGTCATTGGGGAGTAATGCCTATGGGCAGTCTAATATGACTCTGACTCAAGAGCTAATGGCTGGTTTTGGCAAAGTCCAGGGATGTAAACAATTTACAGCAAAAGTATTTCATCAAATTTTCCTTCAGAAAGAAGGCAGTTGGACTTGGTCAGTAGCTTCTCTGAGGATCAGGAGAATCCTATAGACTCATCCGGAGATCACAAGTCACAGAATTTGCTGGGCTTGGAAGGTACCTTTGGAGATCATCCAGTTGAACTTTCCTGCTCCAAACAGGGTAAATTAGATTTATCCCAGATTGCTTAGGGACTGTCCAGTGATGTTTACAGTATCTTGAAGGATGAAGACTGTGCAGCCTCTCTGGACAACCCGGTTTAAACGGAATTGTCCATCTTTCCCCTTTGCCCACTGCTGCTTCTCCTTTCACTGAGAAGAGTCTGGCCCTGTGTTCTTTTCTCCCACATAATCAGGTATTTATAACATTGGTAAGATCCCCTTGATCTTCTCTAGACTAAATTATCCCAACTTTCTCAGTCTTGCCTCATTTGTCAGATAGTCCAATCTCCTCAATAATCCCTGTGGCCATGACTGGACTATTCTGATATGTCTATGCCTGATTTCTATGGGGGAGCTGAGAACCACACAATTCCAGATGTGGTTTCACCAAATCTGAGTACAGGCAAATAATTACCTCCCTTAATTTGCTGCTAACACTTTCCCTAATGCACCCAGGAAGCTCTTGTGTGGTTCACTCTCTTTAGAACATGTGCACAAGCAAGAAGTTATCAGCATCTTGTACTCAACAGTGTCATATTTTTAAACAATAAAGAAGCCTGGTTGAGTCTCTTTCAATAGTGTGACTTTTCTTACCAGCATTTAGGAATTGGCAGGCAAGTATCCAGACTGGTGGTCAAAATGGGCATTGATGATACTGATATTTTTACAGTGTAAAATAGCGTGCCTATTAGTGGAAATGTAGCTATTCAAAAGAAACAGCTGACAGATTCAAAGCCAGGGTGATTGAAAAAAAAAGAGAAAAAAAAAGGGGAAAAAAAGAAAACATGTTTCCATAATAACTGAAAGAATGAGTTTTGTGTGATAATTTTGAGTTGCTTTGTGTTGACGGCCAGTTTTGTTTACTTGCCAGAAATATCATGTATATTTAAATGATCATCTGCCAGAAGCATTTGTGATATATTATTATCATTAGTTTGCTGCCATGTGTAACATTTGGGGATAACAGCATGGAAAGGAAATTGCAGAATACAATGCATTTTTAACAAAGACGTTTTTTCTCAGCGTATGTCTCTACTGTTCTGACATTTGAGTTGCTTATCTTTTCTTGGCAACAGAACTGTATTTCCAATCATCTTTTTTAGGGTTCTGTTTATTATTGTATTGTTTTCTTTTTTCTCTCCCTGCCTCCTTTTCTATTCCATTCCTTTGGCCTGGTGTTCAGTCTATGCCATGGAAATCAATCGTAAGTCTCTGGGGAGAGCTGATTATCTCATTTAGCTGAATGTGTTCATTAATGTTTTTCTTGACTAGTTACTCATATCATAATTACAGCACTCATGCAATAGTCAGGTGAGAATGTTGTTTTTCTACTGTAATAGTTTCATTAGAAAATAAGCAGAGGAAAGATATTTTAATACAAAATGCAGATCAGAAGTTTTAGCTGAGTTGAAGTTGTTGCTATGACTTGTTTCTAGTGCACCAACAGTAAAATAATTGGGTTTTTAAATTATGATGCATAAGTGGCATTGTATAACTAATTCCCTCTTATTACCTAGATACAATATTACCGTGGGTTTTGGCATTTGTCCATTGGAATAAAATTAGCATTCACTTAATTTTGTTGCTATACTTCTCTTAGGAGAACGAGGAAAAAATGTAGGTCTGATTTTTGAAAAGCAAGTAAAATAAATGTTAATTACAGTCCAAACAACCCTTTGACACCTTAGTAAATAAGCTTAGTTTGTGTTCAAATATTTTGAAGTATTTTTCAAGTGAGGTTGAAGCATTGTGGTTTTTTGCAAAATGTTTAAAGATACTGAGTTCTTATTCCCATAAACTAAGTCTCTTATGAACTCTGTTAGACTTCACATTTACTTAGATTACAGCTAAAAAACCTGTGGCTGACAAAAACTTTACTGCTACTAAATAGTTCCAAGAATTAGCCTTGTATTTGAAATCGGATATGTTGGCACTGCACTTACAGACAGAACAAAATTGCTGCATTTACCCAACTCCATGACAAGTCTTACCAAGACAATCTATGTAATCTTAGAATTACTTCAGGCAATTGTTTTATATTGGTTTGATCAATAGTCTCAATTTTTGTCCCATTCTCAGTAGTCTTATTTTGCTGTTACTATATACTTTTCATTTTAGAATTGGATCTTTTTGGTAGCATTAACCTGCTGGTACATTAACAGCCCCAGACAGGTCAAGTAATAGTCTGGGATCCATCTAGAGAATCCAGTAAGAATAGAAAGCCACACTGTACAATAAGGAGTTGCCTCTCTGTTCACTAATATGGAAGCAGAATTTGAAGTAGAAATTATACGTACTTGCTCTTGGAAATAAACTGACAAAATTTGGCAACGTTTATGCATGTGTCATCATTAAATAATTGAGAATAGTATTTTTAATTATTAGACAACTTGTGAAAAATATCTTTTCTGTCTTTCCTTCAGCTCCTTGTGGGGACAATCTTTATGATGATGATGGTAAACGCCTCCCTCCATGCATCCCAGGGGCCTGGCTCACTCCTGCTATTATGGCCTGTTACCTTTTGGTAGCAAATATCCTGTTGGTAAACCTGCTGATTGCTGTCTTCAAGTATGTAAACAATCATGCATCTTTGTCTTACTGTCAAGATAAAGTTTCTGTTTGAGCCCATCAGCTGATTCTGCAAGGGTTTGCATTCACTCAGGATCTCATGATTCCATGGGTCTCACTGGCAAATTCTGGCAGCAGGGTGCACCCTGGAGAAGAGTGAGGAAAAGTGGCTGTGGATTTGCCAGCGATTGCAGCAATGGATGTGAGAGAACCTGGCTACCTCCAGTTACCTTCTAATGGATAGTGACAGGCCTCAAGGTTGCTCTGGAAAGATGAGAAATAGGATCCATGAAACCTGGCACACACCTGACAGAAACCCGTGTAGCCACTGGCAGTCACAGCTCTGCGGGAGAGCAGCAGAACAAAACTCTGAACGTCAAAAGCCTGAGGCATTTCCACTACATCATCTGGCTTTTGTCTTGTTTTGTTTTCCATTTAGAAAAAGAAATTAGGGCCTTGCAGAGTCCTTTCATGACCCCAAAAAATAGTCTGTATTGCCTTGAATCATCAGGGAGGATGGCTATGTGTTGCCAAGGTCTGTGGCCAATCCAAGCAGTGTGCAGTATGCACATATCTATATTTAGACTTATCTGGAGTAAAACTAAATAAATTTCTGCTGCTTGTTCTTCCTACCTGCACTTAGGTTGCATGGTTTTCCTTTCATAATGTAGGGATTAAAAAAGTAATGACTTGCTGGCAATACTTTCTGAACATAGCACCTAAGAAAAGCAGGTGATCCATTTTTGTTGCCTTCAAACATGTTGTGTTGGAGGGCTTGTCGATTTGTGTTACAAATGCAAAAAACAGTACTTCGTGTGCCCAGAAATCTGCAGCTCACAAAGCCTGTCTTTCATTTGATGTATGTAGCTTAAAAGGTCATGAATTTAAAGTACTCAAATGCCAGTCACATAGCTGGGGAGAAGGGGAAGAATCTTACAATGGTAGCTATTATTGGCTGGAGGACCAAGGAATCAGCAGTTTGGGAAGTAGGTCATGCTGTTAACTCCTGCCATCCCAGCCTGCTTCACAGGGATGAGATCTAGCTGGGGAATTCCTGCTGTAAAGTAGACACGGAATGAAGACATTGTTATTTTTCATAGATCACAGTCTCATGAAACTAAAAGGAAGTTTCAGTATCATCACCATCATAGAAGTACAGTGAGCTGTCTGAAGATACTTTAAAATAGACTTAACCTAAAGAAAGTAAAATCTATGTGTACACAGGAATTCTTTGGTTTCAAAGAGATGTTTTAACTGGTTTTATGAATGTAGATATTCTAAAGCACATAGAGTTAGGAAATAAGTGGACAGAAAATATAAAAAGGAAGTTTCAGTATCATCACCATCATAGAAGTACAGTGAGCTGTCTGAAGATACTTTAAAATATCTTGAAAAGCCTTTTCTTAGACAGAATATCAAGTCTGCTTTCTCTTAGTTGGTATTTCATAACTGTGACTATTGTTATCTCTGGATTGACTCCTGTCAATATCAACTGAATTTCAAAATTAAACATCTTTAAAACACACCTTACTTTGCTGTAAAAATGATAAAACTTCCAAGTATAATTTTCTTTACAAGGATGTGCACCATGTTTTCGAATCAGAAGTTTGAGGGAATAAAGTTTGAATTTAGGACATTCAGTGAAAACTTGAAAAGTCTTCTATGTAGGTCAAGCTGATTAGCATATTAAAGGCATACTATGTGAAGCTTCTGAGTTTAGCATGCAAACTACTTTTAATGGATTTAATACTTTGTGTAGCGTCAAATACTGGCATGTGTTAAAAGAAATAGTTTATAACCAAGCCCCAAAATACCAATTATGTGATGCATAAATTGTGTGAGTTTCTTTTCACTGGCACCTAAGGGATTTGTACAGTAGGAGCAAATGGTCTGAGAGGACTGTTCTGAGTGGTGCCTGAGGGGTGCAGAGCACCTGCTGTTTGCTGCCTTCAAAAGGAGTAGTGAAATCATGAGTTCAATTTAATCCTTACTTCAGTAGCACCAACTAAGAGCTGAAGCAAGCAAATCCTGTGGCTCCATGAGGTTATTTAGCTGCTGCTTTTTTAACATAGTACTTGCTCAGTGAGAAGCGAGATTAGGAACCTCATAGAAACTGTATCTATGTTTCCTTTCAGCAATACCTTCTTTGAGGTAAAATCAATATCCAACCAAGTCTGGAAGTTCCAGCGGTACCAGCTGATCATGACATTCCATGACAGACCTGTCCTGCCACCACCAATGATTATCTTCAGCCACATCTACATCATCATCAAGCGGATCTGCTGCCGCTGCAGGAAGGGTGATGGAGACCAGGACGAGCGGGACAGGGGACTGAGTATGCAAGAAATCTTCTCTAAATTCAGCTCTTTGCACCATAGTGGCAGAAAGCAGCAGCTTCTACAACACTGAACTGTTTTGTTCACCTTGCCCATCAAGTGGGCCAGTATTTGTATCAAGTATTTGTATTTTAACAGCTCTTGGGCTCTGTGGGTGCCTGAGAATTTGCAACTCTTCTTTAATATGCTTTCTTAAAACAAGATGCTATATACTCAGCCCAGGGGTTTACCAAGTTCTGGTGAAGCCCATATGTTGGGAGGGGCAAATAGGAATTACAGAAGGGATAGAGTTTCAAAAGTCAGCTATAGTGTCACCTCTGTGATTGTGAGGACTGTGAGGGTCCCCACTATCATTTAGAGATTTACCTGTCATTTCACAGGGAAACTGTGAGGATTCTTCTCCTAACATACTCTCTAACTGTCAATTAGTATATGCCTCACAGAAATAATCAGAGGCTCACAACATCCCTCTATTTCTACATTTCATAGGAAACATTTTTGCACAATAGCAAAAAGAAAAAGGAAAAGAGGAAATGTAGCACTGCTTCCAAATGCAAAGAGACAAATCCAGATAATAGATGAATTGTTCCCAAAATTCCCCTTGGATTTTTCTTATGTGATTAGAAATTTCTTAACATCTTATCCAAAGAATATCTGTGAACACTCTGTTAAGTTTATGTGTTGCCTATAACTCCCATACTTTTAAGAATAACACTTGAATGAAGGAACAGTCAAACTGACAGAGATTGCCCAGGTCTTTATCTTGTAAAATCTGGTCAGTTTGTTCAATGCACAGCAGTTAAACAGTGTCAAAGTCATTCAGAACATCAAGCCCCCTGTGGATGGCCATGGAAGCAGATGATGCTGATAATGCATTCCATTGCCTTCACAGCTCTGCCCATCTTTAGCTAAGTGCTCATTGCTTATTTTAAAAAATCATCTGTTCATTTAGTGAGGAGTAGAATCTGCAGTATGGCCATGTCCAAAATAAACTGCTAATTTGGATTTAAACTGTCTGCCAGAAGTTGAGAAAAAGGAAACTCCTCTTTTGTTCTTCTCTTTTGCACAGAGTTATTTCTGAATGATGAAGAGCTAAAAAAACTCTATGAGTTTGAAGAGCAGTGTGTAGAAGAATACTTCCAGGAGAAGGAGGATGAGCAGCAGTCATCTAATGATGAACGCATCAGAGTTACCTCTGAAAGGTACCTGTTGCAACCAAAAAAATCCACTCCATCTGTTGGGAACAGTCTTTTTAATATCTTATTTATACCCATGGTTGAGTGAAAACACAAAAGATTTAGATCTTGAAGAAAGCCACCACCAACTCAGAAACTGATCTGAATCCCAAATAACTATCTGAGCAGGTGCATCTCTCAAAACAGCAAACTTCTTGTTATTCCTTCTGTTATGTCACTAAATCTGGTGGTTTGGGTACCTTTGTTGTAAGAACATCTTTGCTTATGATGAATTTTATACCTCTTATCCATCTGAGGATCACAGTGATGCTTTTTATCCATTTGAGAAAATCACTGCTTGTTGAGCTTCCAACAGTTCATCCAACCATGAGAAACATGTTGGAGCTTAATGACAAAAGCACTGAGGGTTCTTCCCTTGGACCTGTGGTTTACATTAGGGTCTGGCACTCACAACTGCTGAATTTTAATCTCTGCCACAGATTCTCTTGCAGGCTTTGAACAAGGCATTTAGCTTTTCAGTATGAACTTCCCCATTTAAAAGATGGGGAATATTCTCATGTTAATCATTATGCTTGCTCTGAGGACTAGGTAATGTTTGCACATTGCTGTGTAAGCACACAGTGCTAATGGCAGCAGCCTTTTTTACCAGGTCACTTGGCAGGACTGTTCCCAAAGGCTCTGCCTATTCTGTCAGTAGATCTAAGTAAGTCAAGAGATGGGTACTTTTATCACTTCCTTGAATTGAAAAAAAATTCTCCTTGTAATGAAAATAATACACATTTTAAACACTCTTTCACCTTACTCTACCTCACAGTGTTCTGTTGATTAAATACTCCACATACATATTTATCTATATATCTATTTTTAACATTTGTTATGGATTTGCTCTGTGAGCCATATAATTCTTTAATAGATAAAATTATTTCTATTGAGAGAGGCCCTGAACATCTTGCATTATTATATTTGAAATTTGAGAATAGAGAAGTAAATTAAACCTGCTACATATATTCTATTACACTGGTTATCCATGGCAATTTGTCAGATTCCTAGGTATTGTGGCAGAGACTAAAGCAGGGCTGATAAGCCTCACTGATTCACTATGGTCTATGGCCACAAAGCAGATTTGCTTATTTCTCATGGCTCCTTGCTCCAGATGCTTTGTTATCTTTTGTGTATGCGAGCAAGAAAATGTTCATGTAATTTCCCAGTAGATTTATTAGTATATGATCTCTAAGCCACATTCCAGTCAATTATCTTTATATGCATTTTTCTAGTGCCATCACATCCACAACAATATAAATGATAAGAAGAAAATGGGAAAAAGTATTATTTTAATTGAACTAGACAATAGTTCCACTCATTCAGCTGATACAAAATAGAAAGGTATTTCAAGAGCAAAAGCAATCCCATCAACACCAGAATATGTTGCTCTCTCATACAGCTGCAGAACCTGTTTTACAACATGCTTTGATGCTATTTTAAGTCACCCTGTGAGCATGTCTTTAGAAAGTACTTTTCATGTAATTAATTTGATGCGTCACAGTGAAAGAGAACAACTGAGCACACGGTGGGTGGCAGACGCAGAAATGTTAACAGAAGTCTGTCCCTAAGGGCTCTCCTGCCATGAATATAAGGGCAAAGTTCAAATACCCCTCTAATATGGTGTACAGAAAGCATAGATAACAAGAAAATGCTCGCGCTTTTGTTGCTACCCATAGGAAAAAAGAACAAGGCATGATACACACCACAAAACTCTGCCTTAGGAAGAAATCAGGCGCTGGGTGCCTATAGTGGGTTACTGCACCATTCTACACGTTCTGTTCTCTGCTTCCTTTTTTATGCTCCACAGAGTTGAAAATATGTCGATGAGGCTAGAAGAAGTGAATGAAAGAGAACACTTTATGAAAGCTTCTCTCCAGACAGTCGACCTGCGGCTCTCCCAGCTGGAGGAGCTCTCCGGTCGGATGGTGAATGCCCTGGAGAAGCTGGCGGGCGTCGACAAATCCGAGCTGACGTACACGCGCTCGCGGGCCTCGTCAGAGTGTGATGCTGCCTATCTCCTGAGGCAGAGCAGTGTCAACAGCTCCGATGGCTACAGCATGTACAAATACCACATCAGCGGTGACGAGCTGACCTACGATGACAGCACCACGCCTATGTCACCAGCCATGCGTCAAAAAGCCCACTCTATTGGTACCAAAGAAGATGGAGCAGACCCAAGGATGCTGGTTCCAGAACACCAAACTGGACTTCATAGCTCGAGTCCTAATGCAGTTGCTACAGCAGATCACAGTAAATCTACGTTAGAAATTGCACAGACTGTTTCCAGAGCTCATTCTGGTACAGGCAGTTTGGGGAGTGAAAAGCAGGGGGTTTTCAGTAGCGATGGAATGATTCCTCAAAGTGTAAACCAGATGAATGCTGTTACAAACAGCCAGTCAGTAGCAGGACCAGATTTTCAGAACACTCAGTTAAAAGTAGCACGTACCAAGTTAGAAGCAACCATCTCTTATCCCTTGGACAAATCCAAAGCAATGCGCTATTTTCCTCCTGAAACTTTCAGTGCTTGTCAAACCACTATGATGAAGTCAAGGAGCTTTATTTTTGCACAAGGTGGAAAGCTGGTTGGAGGAGTTAACAACTGGACCTCGGAGTACAGTACCATCATGGATCAGGTGTGTCCTTCTACAATTGAACAGTGGGCCACGGAGTGGAAATACGAAGTTGAGCAGCAGCTTTCTCAAGAGCGTCCTCCAGAATACCCTGGGTTGATCTCTGAAGCAGAAAGGCAAGCAGAGGAGAAGCAGATGGACACAGATGATGATTGTAATGTTGGTGAAGCAGGTATGAGTGCCTCTTACACCTCTATGCCTGCCCCTGTCAAGGCTGAGAAGGAGAATTTCCTGTCAGCAAAGCCCGAAAGGACTCCTGGGTTCCCATCAGTGCGCTCCAAGAGTTTGCACAGCCATTCCCGGAAAGCCAAGTCTGTGAAGGACAAATTAAATAGACCAGGACATGCCAGCAGTGTAACTAATTTGGTGGTAGCATTTGGCAGTGCAACAGAAGAACAGAAAACCAGGCAAGAAAATGCATCCACAGAAACTGAATGTTAAAGTGGCTTATGGCCCCTGTTTTACCAACAGTTGAGAAAGCAGAGTGACTAATTGAACAAATTAGGGATTTTCAAATTAATTTCTAAAGAAGAATTGTGAATATATGTATTTCTCTTCTTTTAAACTTAATAGATACATGTTGTGTTCTTAAATAAATGCTTGCTGGGTTGGGTGAAAGGGAGATGTTTTCTCAGGGGCAGATAAAAAGTAGGTACAGTCCACAGATGCCAACTATATAGATATTCATTTGTACCAATTCAGTCTCCCTCATAAGCTCATTTACTGACAAGCTCATTATAAAAGCTCTTAGAGGAAGAGCAATATTATAATGCAATAACTTTATCAGAAGATTTCTCAAACTGAACACATTTTTAACCAGTCTTAGTCTTATCCTTATTTATGCAGCTGGTTTCTTTGTAGCCATGGTGTATTTCAGATCAAAACAATATTGTTGGAGGCAAGGAAAAATTATGCAGTCCCCTCTTTCACTTCTGATTTCATGCATGCTGCTTAGCTTCTCTTTCAGAATGGCATGACATGGCAGTTCTCATCCACTGAAATAGGTCAGAGTGGCAAAATACAGTTGTGTTTGGAGAAGTCTGACCTGGAAAGCCATGTGTACACATGTTCTTAATCTGTCCTTGAACTTCAGTGGCATAATCTTGCTTTCAGGATCACATCTGTCCCCAGCCCAAAACATGCTGACAGCCTTAAACTGTTGAAAAACAGTGATCATTGTTTCAAAATGTTTAGGGAGATTCTAATAATATCAAATACATGGATATTTTAATAATAGAAATCCAAGATCTGCATTAGTGTTTTGTATAAATGAGGATTACAACTGAAGTCTCTGTAGACTTAGAATAAGATTCTGACTTCTCTTAGATGCCTGCAAGGGAAAACAAATCAAAACAGAACAGGAAAGGTGTTCTGATCAGGTGAGATCAAAATATAGCTGATCTTTGTTTGAAACAAATCTAGTGTGACAAAAATTCATCTTCCATTTTGCAATTTCATTATGACATATGAGGAACAAGTAACAGTTTCTAGGAGTCTGTCTAAACAAGATATAGATTTTCCAGACCAGAGTAGAAATTTTGTACATTTTCTTGAGTAAATTTCAAAAACAAATGTCAAAGGAGAAAAAAGTCTCTGCAGCAAAAGCGTTTTGAGGACTAAGAGTGGAAATCAACATCTGTAGTTAGATGTATCCAGAGCACTTGTCTCTGCAGTGGTATTCTAAGTACTAGGTTTTGATAATTTTCTTCATAATAGCAGGGTGTTACTTGGGTCATTCTTCCCTGTTAAGTGTTAGGAACTTTGATTTTCCAAATATTCAGCACTTCTCTTCGCAGGGGATACTTACCACTGGGCAGACAATTTTGAAAATGAGTTAAAGGCAGAATATTGGTCAAAGGTTTATGCTTAACTCATTACCTGTCAGGACTCATTCATACACTATTTTGAAAAGATGTAATTTCTTTTTTCACTCACTATCAGCCCCACAGTGCAGGCCTCAATTGGCATTGTCCTCCTTGACAATGATGCTTACAGCATTTTGAAATGCAGAGGCTGGTGGAAGACTCTATACCTGCATTAATGGTATCTGGTTTGCATTGTTTGCATTGTATTTTCATACTCCATCCATACTTTTACCCTGAAGTACTGTTACCAGACTGAATGATCAGGGAAAGTGCACAGACATTTCACAGAGTTCAGTCATCATTTCTTTTGGATTTTTGCTATCTTGGTTCTTACCAGCAGGTTTACTTGCTTCCCTGCTGTTGGAACAGTGTTGACATTTTGCTTTTTATGTGGGCTTCTCTTTTCTTCAACTTAGGGAACTTGACATTTTGTAAAAACAGAATGACATTTGAAATTGTTTCACTTCCATGTTTACTTCTGTGTTACCATTCTGTGCAACTACATAGCCATTGTGTATATGTGGTTAAAATAGCCTCCAGTTTGCCAATGCCTTTTTTTTGTTTGCCTGCACATTCACCAGAAATGGATTCATTAACAAACACAAAGGGATGCAGCTTTTCAGCACTGTGCTAAACAAGCAGTATGCATTGTGGAATGGAATACAGTGTGTTGCATACCTCTTGTTACATTGTCTTTATAAAATGTGTGTTAATCATGCTTTTGACCACTTAATTTTTTTAGCACTTACATTGAAAATTTATTTGATAGCATGTAGATTTCAAACAAAAATATTTTTCCTTTGTATTTATATATTTCCTTTGTGTAAAAATATTTATAAAGAAACGTGAAAAATATGGTAAATTAATTCAATATACCAATTTTTTCTCTATAATGTCAAAATACTTCACTAATCTGTTTCTTCTTATGCAGTGCATGGGACAAACATCTTCTAAGCAAATTTTTTTTTCTTAACAGTTGCCAGTAATTTTTCATGAAATTTTCTATAGAGGGATGATTTTAAGAGGTTGCATATTTTCTGTGCTCTCACACAGCATGAAATGAATGACAATTTCTCTGTCATTACATGTGAAGTAACAACACTGGCTTTGGCAGAGTCATTTTAGACAAACAGCCATTTTAATAAGATTTAAATATGGTTCTGTATGTGCATAGAAGACTAATAATAGATTTGGAGCTCACTAAGCAGAATAATGACCAACACATTTGCATGTCTGCCTCCATGCTTTCTTGAATACTGGCTGAAAGGATGCAGGCAGAGAATTTGCATTTCTGAAGAGGCATGTTTAATACTGCTTTTCAGGAAGATGTGTCCCCCTTCACTGCTAAGCATGTGGTGACTTCACAGCAATGTCACTGTGAATTCCATTGCCATGATTTATTATGTGCTTGACCTATACTGAAGCAGGTCAAGCTGAAAGGGTGTGTACTCCAGGGCTATGTCTATGCAGAGATATTACTCTGAGGTAATTCAAATTTGTTCACCTTACAGTATCTTGCAATACAAACATTTCCCTTTCCCTCAAGGCAAATGTTTTCAACACAGTGACTAATTGTCATATTCACAAAGGCAGGTTCATGACCCTACCACCTGATTCCATGAATTACCCCTTTTTACATTGCATCATTCAGGGACTAGCTTAACTTTGCCCTCACAAACCTCTCCTGTTGCAGTCACTCTATCAATTTTAGAAGCTGGAGATCAATACCTGAGAATCAAGAAAGCCCATTTTCCGTATTATTTACTAATTCATTAAAGTAGCCATTGAAACCTTCCAACTGTGGTTTCTCCATGCTGCTTATTTGGATGCTTTCCAAGGTTCTGTGCTTGACATCTTCAGCAAAATATTTATCTGTTCTTCTAAATAAAAAAAAAGAAGAACACATCTGCAAGGCCTTGTCAGGAAACAGGGACATGAGAAAGGTGCATGACCAAGGATGTTAACAGGATCATTTCATTAGCTCTGCAAGATGAATAACAGGACAGTGCCCTGTTACAGGTGTTGTGGGCTGACCCAAAGCCAGTGTGCTGCTGGAGCCCTTCGTGTGGAGCAGGTGAGTTTTCCAAATGACAGCAGTCCTTGGACATGGTGCTGGGGTCCCACAGATGCTTCTGCAGCACTGTCCTGCCCAGCAGGTCACTTCTGCCTGAATTAGTGTTGCACTCAAAAGATGTTGGGAGCCTTGGATGTAAAGTTGACAATTTATTGTTAGTGTAAAAAGTTTTAACAGTCTAATATATGAATTGTTATTAGTTTAGATCCATCTAATTAGAGAAGAGACGAGAACAGAAAAGAATACTAGTATGCTACTAATGGTAAATCAGAAAAGGCTAAAGTTATTCAATGCACACTTCCTACTATCTACCCCTTATTTTGATGATTATTGGCACCTGCTCTGATCCTCTGGGTCTAATGGTCAGTGGCTACAGTGAGGATAGTGAGGACATACTGCCAGCTGTCAGCATTCCAGGTCCTTTGTAGGGTAAGCATGAATTCATGTTGTTTCTGTGTCCTTATTTTTTGCTACTTTAGGGGCATTTTTAAGAGAGCTACAAAGTTATATCTTGTTTTTCATCACTGACCTTTAAATCCTACAAATAAACCTGAATTTTCTCATCATTAGAAAAATTGTTTTCACATCTAAACAAACGAGGGACAGCTCGAGGCAGGTTAAGGCAAGTTCAGACAAAGCAGTCCTGACAAGCCTCAGTCCTGAGGCCTTACAAAGTCAGCATAAAGCCTGTGGCCTGTTACTAGCAGTGACAATTAGCCTCTATTTGCTGGGTTATGAGGCTAAATTAGCCCTAGGGATGTTTTCTTCTCATTGCAACCATTGCAAATAAATATTTACCACATGCAGCAGTCACCTAAGCTGAAAATTCAGCCTAATGGTGGATTTTGATCCCTTCTTTTGATCCAGCATCAGACAGGAAGGCAAAAGTGATGTAAGGACCTGGTTGATGTGGCCATTTAAAGACCATTTCAAATTGTGCCAGGCACAGGAGTTTGGGGTAGGCATAAAACATAAAACAGCATTGTAAAACAGTACTTTGCATTGTAGGCTGACAAACCACAAACCTTGGGAGAAGTGAGATAAAGACTACAGATTTTCTTAAAACTGCAATTTTATTTTGGTTTTTTTTTCAACTTTTAGCCTTATCTGCAGAGTTTGTTATGGCAAAGTGGTACTCTATGGTTGATTCCCTCTATCTTTACAATGTATGTAAGGTATGTCTTCATAACAGGCTTTAAATTATTCTTTGCAGATGTTTAGCTGAAATATTTAAATGCTGGTATCCACCTACTGCTTGGTGTTGGAGTAATGGAAAAGAGGGTGCATAATTTCATGTGCCTGCTCCTCTTTTGTCTCTGCAGCATGAACCCCCAGTAAAACCACAGCGCTCCATCCTGCATGGCTCTAGATGCAAGCATCTCCCTTTGCTTGCCCTAACTGTACTGCTGTGCTCAGCAAGCTATCACCTGAGCAAACCAACAGCCTTCAACAAGGGCCATGGAAATAGATTTGATTCTAGTTTAGAAGCACCAGTAATGTAATAGTCACTATCACAACACCTGTGTGAAATAGTCTGAGCCAAGGCAGAACACTGTGCTGTGAACAGCACCCAATAACTCCAGGAAAGCAATACCTGCACAATGGTGAACAAGGAAAGTACCCTTACCTGGCATAGCAAAGTTCCATATCATTAAACCTCCCTACAAAGAAAACAGCCTCCACTTCACAGCTGTGCCTTGCAAAGGAGGCTTCTTTCCTGAGATACCTCAAGAAACAAAAACTTCTGCAGAGTTTTTATGTCTTTTATATTTGGCCAAGACTGTCAAATTTGCTGTTTTATGTAAGTAAACACATTTTAAATATTTAAATATTCTTCTCCTAGGTCTTCATCAAGGACATTCAGGAACAACTGGGGTTTTTTACCAACTGCTTAATAAATTTAAGGCATTGTGTTTTTATTCTGTGAGAGGTAATACAGATCTGTAGGGCTGGCTCCCTCACAAGTCCCCAGAGTCCCACACTTCTGAGTGCAGGCTGAGGCAACCTGGGTGCACAAACTATTGAGTGCACAAGTAGAGAGGTGTCCAGGTAAAGTAATAAACTGTACCACTTTCAGGGAAAAATAGAACTTACTTTCATCAGTGAATCCCTGACTTTGCAGGCTTGCTGCACACTTGCTTTAGCTCTGGGCACATAGCTCTGCTGTGAAATCAGACAACACTTGTGTCTTTTTTGTCTTGGAGTTCAATAATTGAACCAGTCTTCAGAGAGCTATGAAAACATGGAAGTTGCCATAGAAATACGGGCCTGGAAGAGATCATCTGCACTAGGCAAGTTCAGCTATGTCAATAGCATCAGTGGCAGATGGTGGTCTAACCTGTTCTTGAACATGCCTAATGAAAGCCATTCTCTAATCTGCTGAGAGATCAAAAGGGACCATTGTGAAAATCTGTTCTGATTTAACCCCAGCCCTCATGCACTGCATAAGCCAAAGCACTTCCCCAGCCACAGAGCTGCCTTGGGAGGTTGTAGCAGAACTTTTAGGAAGGTGCCTAATCTGAGTGTGCACTGAACACAGCAGGGTATGCAGCCCAGCCGTCTCTAACAGATAATTATCTGCGCTGTCACACTGTCACTGTGTGTAAAAAGAGCCCTGACAGACAAGCACACAGTCTTGGGGGTGATACCACTGGGAGAGCAGGCCAGGCTGCTTCTCAGAGAGAGTGGCCAAGAAAGGGTCCTGGTCAGGCTAGCACACAGGAGATACCACTGAATAACAAGGTAGAGGCAAGGAAAATAACTGTGCTGACTAAAAAAATTATTTTTTAATTAATGAGAATAACACCAGACATCTGCAGTCTTTTCAGTTCAGCTGGCTTTGTTGCATAGCTGTCTTCCCACCATTATTTCAAGACTGCTCTCATAGAACAAAGGCATTCTCAAAAATCTCTGGCTTAGCAGAACTGTTTGAAAAAAGTGAGTATGTGAAGCAGAGCTGGGATGGCCAGAGATGGGCAGGCAGTTGAGTTCATTTTCAAAAAGGAGCCAGAGGATTTCCCTGCCTGTCCTGCCTGACCTTTTGCCTTGTCTGCCCTGCCCTGCCTGCCTACCCTGCTCTACTTGCCTGTCCTGCTCTGCCTGTCTGTATCTCACTGCAAGTTGTGACAATTAACTTGCTTCTCCAAAGTACTCAATTCTGCCAAATCAGCCTTCTTCTCCTACTGGCACAGAACTCTTTCAGTGGAAACTTGTAACCAGTTCCAGTAACAATCCTCATAAATCTTGTGAGAGATTAGTTTTGATTTTGTTTGCTCCTTTTCAGAACAGCACTGCAATTTCAATGTGTCAGTTCAGTCCTTACTGGAAATTTTTGCTATCCTGTGATCATCCTCTCATGAGTAAGATTGTTTTTACAGCTACTCCTAAAAAGTCTCTGTGCTGATGGAGAAACACTCTTGTAATTCTGATATGGTGCAAATAATCATCATTTTTAATATCACTGGCAAATTTATTATGTGCAGTTTCAAGTCTGGGCAATTTCTGCCTTCCTCACCCCCTCACTTTCTCTTCTCCCCTTTTTGAGTTAAATTCCCTTTCACCACTGTTCTGAATATGAACAAAAACTTTTAAGAAGGATAAAGATAAGGGCTAGCCCTGCAGTATTTCTCACTTATCAAATGTCCAAAGGATTTAAGTTATGAAAGGGGATGAGAGGAGCTGTGGTTTGCTCTCACAGCTCTCAGCTTTACACCATCTGCAGCACAGTGCACTCCCTAAAATGGACTGGGGCATGAGATCATGCCAGGCTGAATAATCCCACTTAGACAATGATGTTTACAGCCTAAAATAAAAGTGGTGTATGTGAAAATAGAGGATAAAGTGAAGGGCATTGTCTGCCAACAGCAATAAGATGGGACCTTTGTGCAAGGAGGTGCACTTGCTTTGAACAGTACACTGGGATTGGTTTTATCTTCTGTATGTACATGTCCAAGAGCAGGGTGCTCCCTCCTGGGCTGTTGAACAGCATTAAATGTATGCACATGAGCTCTCCTCAGTCTAGGCAGGTGCCAGTGAATTCCCTCCTCACTGTTCAATCAAACCTTTCTCCTGCAATCAGTGGGACAGTTCCTCCAAACTGTGGAATCCAGGCTGTGCCCTAAAGTATGTTCTTTCATTGAACACACACCCTCAGAGTTCACAAAAGATCCCAGGTTCTGTAATGCAATATACTTTCTATTAACGAGGGAAGACCTTGACCTCGCAGCTGTGCTGAGTACTGCGTGTGTCATTTTGTGTCTCAAAATGTGTCCATTTTTCTGGAGTCTTCACCACTATGCTGTAGCAGGCCTTTACAAATGTTACATTGTATGTGAGCTGTTCAATTTTCCTGACAGTATGGCTAACCAAAATTATGCTTTTTAATATGGTGAGGCTACAAAACACCAGCAGTTTGTTTGTCGGGTCCTGGCCTTCAACTCTCACCCCTAATGCATGGTCCCTGCTGTGAACTCTGCTTGGCTCACAGCTGGAACCATGACTGGTGCACCAGCAGCCAGGGGCCAGCCCTTCTCACCCTATTGAACACTTCAGACCTGACTCCAAAATCTGGAGAGACCTGCTGCTTTCCCTTGTGACTGGATTATCAGCAGGAGAACCAGACCCTCCCCCTTCGTTAGATCTCACAGCTGACAGACCATGTATTCCTGATCTAGGGTTCTCCATTAAACCACATTTCCACCCAAACTGTTGCTTCGTGTAGGAGGTGTTTTCACTGTGGAGGCCGAGTTTAGAGCAGTCATAATAATCACCTGCAGTATGGAGCTTTAGGGCGTCATAGGCCACTAAGCAAACATGAACAGCTACTCAGTTTCCTACTTAAAAGAGATAGCAGTAATGGATTTTGGCAGTTTAGCTAGGTGCCTGTGTTATTTCCATGTCCTGGAGAAGTTCTGGTGAGCAACACGAGTGCCTGGAAAGCTTAAAGGGAGTTACAACGATACTGGATCAACATCCAGCTCCCACAGTCAGCAGGGCTGCTGAGTGGGAGGGTGACTGCAGCAGCTGCCTGGGGCATCATCCAGCCCTCAGAATATGCTGAGTTGGAAGGGACCCACAAGGATTGTGCAGTCCAGCTCCTGGCCCTGCACAGAACCATCCCCAAGAGTCACATCATGTGCCTGAGAGGGCTGCATACACCCCACAGCTGTAATGTGTACAGCTTGCTTCTGTAAAGGGTGACAGGGGGAGAACGCCATAGCAGTAAGCGATCCACAGAATCCCAGAAGGATAAGGGCTTAGGATGGAGCATAGATCATCCAGCTCAAAGCCCTGCCACGGGCAGGGGCACCTCGCTCAAGGCCTTACAGAACCTGGCTGTGAGCGCTGCCAGCGATGGAGCCCCACGACCTCCCTGGGCAGCCTGTGCCAGTGTCTCCCCAGCCCCTCTCTCCCCACGCCGGAGCTGGATTTTACCGCTGCCTTACGAGACAGCCCTGGCTAGCGGCAACTCCTGCAGGCCCCCGAACGCGGGTTTCAGCTCCCGGGGGGCTCTGAGGCCGAGCTGCGGCAATCCCGCAGGCCCGGCGCTGGGCTGCTCCGGGGCAGGACGGGCCGGCGGGGCGCTGACCCGGCCCGGCAGTGCGGCCGTGCCGGG